CTGGTTGGAAAAGACCTCGCAGACCAGCAGGTCCAACAGTTGAGGCAGCACTGCCAAGGGCAGCACTAAACCAGAAAGAACCACGTCACAAGAGTGGAGCTCCAGAAGAAACCAACCAGCCCCACAGGGGTGACCCTGCCCCGAGGGCTCAGCCAGGGCAGGGGGGGCACAGACCCCAGCTCCGTGGTTCCTCCACCCCACATCTGCACTCACAGGGCACCCGATGAGCCACGGGCTCCCTTTCCCCCATCTCAGCCCTGCCAGGAAGCCCTTCCACCAGAGGTGCCAGCAGAACAGCTCCATAATCCCAGGCAGGCAAAGTGTCAGTTGGTGTTTCAGGGAGCCCTTCAGCTCCACAGCCAGCACTGGCACCCAGAGCACAGCCCCGTGCTATGGCCTGGGACAGGTCACTCCCAGGACAGGAGCTCCTCACAGGGGCTGGGCAGGGCACTGGGAGCTGCTGGGCACCACCAGACTTCCCACTCGTTCTGTTTCCCACTGCAGGGCCAGGCAGCCCAAGCCTTTGCTGGTGCTGGTGTGGCAATCGGGTGCTGCGATGCCCACGCACGTGGGAGCAGCTTCCCTGCCACACACTTCACTTCCTTTGTGTGCAGTTTGTCCTGGCTCTGTTTACACCCCATGTAAACATGCACAGGCAGCCTCAGCTGTCACGCAAACGCTGCTTTCAGGGCATGATTTGTTGACAACCCACTCCTTGGACTGCACATGAAAGTCAAATAACTGAGATAATAGTAAAATAGCTGCTAGCTCTTTTTTTCTTAACAAAATAGCATTGGTGTTTAGAAAAGAAATGAAGTTAAAATGGTTTAATAAATGAAAGCAAAGATTAGCTTCACAGAAAGAACTCGGGGGATTGATAAATGATAATTTTGACACATAAGACAGGAGTCCAGAGGCAGCTCACTCTGCACAGGGCTGGGATGAGCCTTTGAGCAACCTGACCCAGGGCAGGACGTTCCTGCCCACGGCAGGGGGTGGCACCAGGTGACCTTTACTGGTCCCCTCCAACCCAAACCCTCCTATGATTCACAGGGAAGCCTGAGCTGTGCCAGACCAACACAGCCTGACTCCATGTGCAAGCTCAGCACTAGTTGTGGCATTTTGCTTCACCCAAAGCCCAGAGCTATTTACCAAAAAAAGGCCTAACAAAAAATAGAGCTGGCCTAGATCTCAGCTCAGCACAGAACAGCCTCTACCTGGGGTGTTTGTTTGCAGCTTTGAACTCTAATGAGGCAGAGAAGCAGCTGAGGGACAAGGGAAGCAGCAGAGCTGAGGTGCTGTGGGTGGAACTCGGGGATGATCCAGCCCAGCCAGGGCAGCTGCAGCTCCAGGCCCTTGTGCTGAGCACTGAACCTGCTTAGTACAGTTTGATGCTTATACCATCCCATGGTGGGTTGGGTTTTCATGGCCCTGCAACTCAGCTGTGGTTTAGAACTGAGAAAGGAACATTTTGGGGTAAGAAGGTGGATGGAGGCTCAATGCATTTTTTTCCTTTACTACAAGTTTTCCATGGGGAGTCCAGAAACCTGTAACAAGTAACAATCCTCCCATGACCTGGGGATCCAGAAGTAAATGAAGTGGCAAATGGACCCAATCACCAAGGACCAAGTGAATGTGAATTACCATAGCTCAGGTGCATGACAAGACAACATGGAAAGAGGATCCTCCTACTTAATTTCCTACTTACTTTATTTCCTACTGGAAATAAAGTGTTTTAAAAGATACTTGGAATAATCAAGTCCAATTCTCTGCTAATTCCTGTGTGATTGGAAACCCCTTTGTTTTCCATCCCAGGATTATTCACAGCCATTTTCTTACTGCCAGATTTATTCTCTAATTTAAACCTTTACTTTCCCTCACTTACATTTACCGTCAGATAATCAATTTTGTCTTCTCCCTGATTTTATTTCAGGGGCACAAACCAAGAGCCTGGGTTTGCCAGCCTTCAAGAAAGGCCTCTGTGCTCATCAGGGCCCTTCTCTGATCACCCACCTGAACGACCAGAGGCAGAATTCTGTCCTGTGTCCCAGGATTTGTGTCCAGAGCCTTTCAAAGGTCATTCACATGATCCTGTACTCCTGAAAATCTCTCTTCATATTTCCTAGGATAAAACATTTGCCTTTTTAATATCTATTCACACCATTATCAAATTCAGATTATTTTTTTTCTGCTTCTGTCATTTCCTACGACCAGAGCTTCAGCTGGGAGTAAAAACACCTACTCATTCAGAAATACATGATTTCACATTTTGGGCTATTAAATCTTCCCCCCACTATTACCCTGTTCTTAAAGATAACCAGATTTTTTTTTTCCCTCCTTGCCTGCAATGACAACTTATCAGTCTGTAACTGAGAAATATTGTCAACTTGAAAAGGAATGAGTCAGTGAGTCACTTGCCACAGACCAGGAGCCAAGGCTTAGGAAGATTCAAAACTGCAGACAAAGCTGTAGAGTAAAAATCCTATTTTATACTAATTAACAAGCTGCAGAGTGATGGGCTGTATAGGCCAGTGACATGACAACAGGCTGCAAACATCCTTAGGAACAGAGGATGTTCAGACTGAAATATGACTAGTTAATAGACACGTTGCAAACTGAATCATTTTGCCTGTGCAGGGTGAGCACAAAATGTTACCCCTGAGTAAAACTGAGAACACCCGCATGGGAACACAGGGTCTTGTGAGGGGGTCCTGGCTACCAACCCTGCAGCATAAAAATGAAAATCCTGACATAGTTCTTGAACCTTCACCAACCACTTGAGTTAATATCTTGATCTAAGGAAGGAGCCAGTGGGGCTGTTTCCCTGCAGAGACAGAAGTGAGACAACGAGGCAGTGCCCACACCGAGCAGCAATCCAGTTTTGCAAGGCCCAAAATGAGAGGGACAAGTCTTTAAAATGCCACCAGGTTTGACCAGAAGCCTTTTCCACTGATAATTTGATACCTTTTGACACTTTTTTGTTGCATGCTTCATTAAAGAAAACAATTAACAAGCATTTTGTCCATGGAAGCATCGAATTCAAACTTTCACAGCTACCTACACAAATAACTGTCATTCCTGTGTCGGCTGGTTCCATAGTTGTTATGCAAATACCCCGGCATCACTTTGGGGCACTGGCAGGGCTGGGGCTGCAGGATCAGCAGGGCTGAGCTCCTGCCCGAGCTTTGCCTGCTGCTCCTGATCCCGAGTGGCTCCCGATGAGCCAAACCCAACCCAAACCCCAACCCCAACCCAATCCAACCCAAACCCAAACCCCAACCCAACCCCAACCCCCCCGCTCCCTGCTCAGCTGCTCCCCGCCTGTTTCTGTAACACTCTGGAAACAAAACATTCCCACCCGTGAGAGCTCACAAGTCACGAACAAACCTTCCAGAACACACAACGGACTTAAACCCGCAAACACCACCACCCCCAAACCGGCCCGAGCCCCGCACAACAAAGAACCGTGCACTTCAGGTGTTGTTCAGCCAGCA